GCCTTCCTGGCAAATCTTCCAGCCCGACCGGTCTCGCCGGTACCGGAGCACCTTCTCGGCCACCGCCTCGCCCATCTGCGCGGCCAGCGCGCCGTCCATCGCGCCGTGAGCTGCGCGCGGGGAAGCTGGAGAGGTGTCCCGTGACGCCTGCCCGAGATCTGCGCAGCCGGAACGCCTCGGCCTGGACGGAGCCCGGAGCCCCGACCCCGCCCCGCCTCCGCCCCGCCTCCGCCCCCGGATTGGTCCGCGCCGCCAGACGGCCCCGCCCCGCCCCGAGATTGGCAGGCACGCGGTGCGCAGGGCCGAGCTCACGGAGACTCGCAGGCTGGGCGGTGCACAGCGCGCCCTGCGGGTCCCGCGGGTCCGCCTCCCGCCCGCCCGCGCCTCTGGGCGGGGCCGGGGGCGTCCACGTTCGGTGAGGCCGGGCCAGGCCTCGCAGGGCGGCTCAGCTTGCTGAAGAGCTTGGACTGTGTCCTGAGTCGCGGAGCCTGCGGCCGGGTGGGAGCAGGGTGGAGTTTGCACCAGTTTCGCCTTCCGGGGCGGCGGCTGCAGGAGTGGGAGAGGGAATGCTGGTGGAGGCCGGGAGGCGGGCCCGGTGCAGCGGCGGTGGAGGGACGGCGGCGGCCTGGAGCAGGGCTGGCCGGTGGCGGTGCAGCGGAGAGGGCCCATCTTAGAATATTTAGGAGGGAGAATGTAGAGATGTCCGCGATGGACGTGGGGGCTGCAGAGGGAGGAAGCATCAGGACCCCCACCTTCTGGCTTGAGCTGGGATGGGGAAGAGACAGTTCTGGGCGTATTTGGCTGCAGGTGCCTGAAAGACCTCGCACTGGGTGGGCAAAGGCAGCCTGGGTTTCCTCCTCTTCAGCACTGTAACCACCTAAGTATTTGAAAAGGGCAACACTGTCTCTTTGTTTTCTATTTTGTGTGCTTATGGTTACCTTTAAAGGTTTGAAAAAATGGTGCGAACAAAATGACTACTTGAAAACCGTTTTTGGAAGATGTGTTGGGCTGCCAGGTTGTAAAGCCCTAGATGGGGAATTAGGGAGTCCAAGTTCTAGACCCAGTTTCACCACTATTCGCTGTGTGGTTTTGGGCAAGTCACTCTCTGAGCCTCAGTTTGCGCCAACATGAAATGGGACGATAATAAATGCCTCCTGGTGGCATTGTGATGTGCAAGTGAAGTAATGCCCATGTGACTATTCCTAGGAGTCATAAAAGAAAAGACCAATAAGCTAACCACATTTAAAAAGTTAAACACATCAAAAATATAAAGAGATGATAATCTGAGGGAAAAGTGGAAGCATATTTTACCTAAAAGTACGTTTTCTTAATGTGCAAAGTGTGCTTACAAATCATTGACATTTTTGAACAACCCAACAGACAAGAAGAATGCATCAGACATGAACAGATACTTTGCAGAAAAATGAATTGACATGGCTAATAAAGATAGGAAAAGATGAAGCCAGCCTGGTAGTGTAGTGGTTAAGTTTGAACACTCCACTTCGGTGGACTGGGGTTAGTGGGTTTGGTCCCCGGCACGGACCTACACATCTCTCATCAAGCCATGCTGTGGAGGCGTCCCACATACGAAATAGAGGAAGATTGGCACAAATGTTAGCTCAGGAGCAATCTTCCTCATCAAAAAAAAAAAAAAAAATGATGTGAACAGATGCAGAACCTCCCTCAAGATTAGGGAATTACAAATCAAAACTTAGGCGAACACCAAGAGGTTTGTTAATTCCATGTATTGGTGAGTATATAGAGAGACAGTTTTATACACTGTGGGTGAGAATGTAAATTTATGTAACCTTCCGGGAGCAAAATAATATATCTTAAAATTTTAATTTGCTTGTTTTTTGACCCAGCAACTCCTGCACAAAGATGTATAAGATTGATCTTGCAACTGGAAATAACCTACCTGTTTGTCAATAGATGGAACAAAGTTACAGGATATTCATTTAGTGGAATATTATGTAGCCATTAAAATAACGTGGCACAGATGAGGGAAGCTGGGGCTGGAAGAGACAGGGAATGTTCAAGAGAACCTACGCACGAGTCTAGAAACAGGAGCTGATGTGAGTAGACTGTTCTAAGCAGGAGCAGTTTACTTTCCATGAAGGAAATAAATGGTATTTAAAACTTAACTTTAAAAATAACTTAATATTGGTTAGGGGCCGGCCCCGTGGCCTAGTGGTTGGGTTCGCGCACTCCGCTGCAGGAGGCCCAGTGTTTCGTTGGTTCGAATCCTGGGCGCGGACATGGCACTGCTCATCAAGCCACACTGAGGAAGCGTCCCACATGCCACAACTAAAAGGACCCACAACGAAGAATATACAACTATGTACTGGGGGGAGAAAAAGGAAAAAAATAAAATCTTAAAAAAAAAAAAAAACTTAATATTGTTTAAATTCTTACCCTCCCCCAAATAAAATGTTTTATATGTGTACTGACAGGGAATAATATCCATTATGTATATACATATCTATATATATATATATATATATATATCTTGTTAGACATCAAACAAGTAAGTGACCAGTCCAGACCTTGGCATACTATCCTCATTTGGAAAATGAGAAAAGTAATAGTATTAACTCACAGGGTTGACATGTGGGTCAAAAGATCTAATCAATGAATAGTAGTTAAAATGGTGCTTGGCATACAGTAAACATTTATATATAGTATATATATATATATATATATATATATATATATATATATATAGTATCCTATATATCGTATATCATCCATATGTATCTTAAGTGAGAAAGAGAAATATCTAGAGATGTGCTTGTATATGCTTATATTTTATGTTTACATATGTATATGTTTAGAATATTCACTTCTGGAAAGATATTGAATAAACTGTTAGGGAGTATCGCCAAAGCACATTTCTTTTTCATTTTATATCATCATAGACCGTTTAATTATTTTAATTACTAACATGTAGGACTTTTTAAATTTAAAAGGCCTCATTAAAAAATTCAATGTAGGATATTTCTATAAAGCTGCAGCTTGGGGCCTATTAGGATTTTGTTTGGGGAGAAAACACGAGGAAAACAGAGCTGAGGGAAAGGAAATCTTGCTGTAGAAAGTGACTTGTTAGACATCACACATTTAAGAGATTTTTATACCTATCAAAATGGAGCATGGGTTTTAAAAATTCTTTAGCACTATAAGAGACTTTAATCTTTTCTCCTAGAGAATGGAAAGCGCTGGGTGTATGAAATGTCTGGAGAAGCAAGCTGTTTATCCCTAAGGCCTGAGACAGAGTGGCAGCAGGAGGTGGGGGAGGTCAGGGGACCTTGTCAGGGCAAGGGGAGCAGCCTACTAGGGCAGAGGGGCCAGGAGCTGCCCACACAGCCCGGGGCGGGGCAGCGAGGTATTTGCATCTGCTTGAGGCTGCGTTGGGGGAGGAATGACTGAGCTCTGTAGATCCCATTGGTTGGAGCCCCTCCCGTGAGGTCCTCAGGCCCTGTGAGTCACCCAGTTGTCCAGAGCAGACCTCACTGAAGTCCTGGTTGAATTTTAAACAGGTGCATGTAGGCCATGGGGCCCAGCGACTTTTAACCGAAAGGCCCCGCAGACCACTGAGCGGGTGAGCCCAAGTGTCTGGGTGTTCCCATCTGGAAAGCTCCGGGATGGAGCAGACACTGAGGACCGGCTGCCTGTTGACCAGTCAGCTCAGGCGGCTGCTGGGGACTCTCCGTCTGCAAGCGTGTGTCTGTTGTTTACTCTTCAGTCTGCAACATCTGATGGTTACTCAGCACCGACTGTTTGCCAATGTTAGGATTCCCTGAGCACTTGACCTGTGCTGTGTGTGTAACCCTCACAACGTTGCCACAGCGTTACGAGGCGGGGACTGCCGTCCCCATTTCACAGCTGAGGAACTGAGAGTCCACAGGGCGTCCAAGGCCACATAGCCCGTCAGTGGCAGGGCTGTGCACACGCCCGTTTCTCTTTCTGAAGGTCACGTGTTGCTCATGTGCTCTGCTGGTTCCTGCCCTTCAAGGCTACACGGTGTTTACCATGAAATGGGCAGAGTCAAAAAACCAAAACACCATAGCAACCAACAGACCCTAAAGACAAGGAAAACACACACACACAAACACACATACTCAGAGTAGCTGGAAAACGGAAATACCACCTCAGACCAGGGAAGTCAGTCTTTTGGAGACACAGAGAAAATGTCTCTCTAAATTCTCTGCCGTTCACAAGTTTGGAAACACAAGGGGTGACCAGGGAGGCATCCTTAGGTCACTAGGATATTTACCAGATGATTCTCATCAAGAGGAATTCACTCCATATATTTAAAGGATTCAGTTGTCGTCTCTGAGCCCTGAGAGGAGTCTGCTGTACAGGTGTTTTTAGGGGACATTATTAATAATAGTGTTGCTCATACCCTCCATGGTAGTGTGGCCAAACGGCAGACATGAACCCCCTCCCCCCACCGCCCTTGGACCATCACTAAAAGCCAAAGGAATCTTGTGAAACCATTGTTATGCAAAGCCGTTTTGACGGTGTCCACGTGGCCTTCTGCTGATGTGACTTAGATCAAAGGGCGAGAGTTGATAGTAATTGTGAACAGAAAAAATGAGGACCGGTGTTGAACAGGCAATCCGTTCACAGAAGAGAAAATGCAAATGGCCAGTAAACAGGAAGAATGCTAACAATCTAAGAAATGCAAATTAATGAAAATAACTTGGTATTTTTTTTTTCACCAGGTAGGCAAAAATTATACCGTGTGACCATATGGAGTCTGGGTGAGGCTGTGAGAACCGTGGTCCTCTCATCCTTCACAGGGGGAGTGTGCACAGGGTCTGGGCTCAGGGAGATGAATAAAGGGGCAGCTAGTGAAATCCTGCGAACTAGGGGCATCTCCTCTGGGAGAACCAGCACCCACTTCTGCACGTGTGGTAGAGGCCGTGTGAAAGATGTTTAGTGCAACCTCATTTTCAGCCGCAAAGATGTGGAAATGATTTCAAGGTCCATCGACAAGAAACGGATAAATGGTGAGTTTATTTCCATGATGAGCTCCTATGCAACCGTTATAATAAGTGAGCTTGATCTGTATTTCTTCAACAGACCGCAGAAACATAAATATGTGCAATACATGTGGGATGAGAGCGTTGACTTAAGTAAAACGTGCTGATGGATGCTTACAAATATATATTTACACACACGTACACAACGTATGTAGCTATAAAGTTGACCGAACGGACAGACGCCAAACTCTTGGTAGCGTGAGGGGAATGAAACTAAGTGTGGGCATTAGAGCAGACTGATTATTTCTGTAATACTTTCTTTAATGATAATAAAATGACTACATGGAAATAAAATTTCAACAGTGTTGACGCAGTGGGAATACAGGTGCTTGTCACACCAGTCTTTCTACTATTCTGCACCTTTTAAATTTCTCTAAATTAAGCAGAGCCCAGTACTAACTGCCAGGGCAGATGTGGGCTGTGTGGCACCCTGGGAGGTGATAAACATCCTTGCAACCCTGGGTGTGTATGGGCAACACCCTGTTTCTTAGGAATGTTGCAGAGCCGGCTTCTCCTCCTGTGCTCACGGAGCGGCTCCCACTCGGACACAGGAGCTCCCACAGGTGCTAGAGGCAGGGCCAGCCTTTTCCAAATGTGTGTCAACGTCCCCGGGAGCTCCAGGCCACAGCCCCAGACCAAGCACATAGAAGGGGACTCTCATCAGGAAAGCCCTCGTCACACCTCCGTCACAGAGGACGCTCCCACCGCCTGTGGGACCTTTCGTCTTGAGCAGACCACTGCCTTCTGGATCTGTTGTGGGAGGAGATCCAAAAATCTGTGCACACCTCTTCATGAATTTGGGGAGGAGTGCCCATCTGTGTGTACTTTTAAAAAGGCGTTATTTACACTGGATTTCTCTTTTTGGTTCGAATTGGCAGTCCATCTCGGACTGTAACCCTGTTGCTACGTCATTTGTGATTCATTCGTTAGTACAGTTCATTCATTCCTTCCTTCACCCCTTTACATTCAACAAGTGTGTGTTAAGGATCTACGGTAGGCGGCATTCTGAGATGGCGCCCAGGGTGCTTGCCCCCCAGTGCACGTTTCCTGTGAAATCTCCTTGTGTGTACTGGCCCTTGTGAAGATGGTGAGATTTTACTCCCAGGATTAGGTTCCATTATGTGGTAAAGATAAAGTGACTTTGAAGATGTAATTACGATCTCTGAACAATTAACTCTGAGTGAATCAAGAGGGAGATGATCCTGGGTGGGCCTGGCCTAATCAGGCGAGTCCTTTCCAAAGAGAGTCCGGGCCTTCCTGGAAAAAGAGATCGGGTGCCAAAGAGGCCCACTCTTGCTGGCCTCGAAGATGCAAACAGCCCCATTGTGGAGAGGACCATGTGGCAGGGAAACGTGGCAGCCTCTGGGCGTGGATGGCCTCATTCCAACAGTCTTGAGGAAGTGAATTCTGTCAATAGCCACATGAGTTTGGAAGGGGACCCCTAGCGTCAGGGGAAATGCCAGCTCTGGCTGACACCCGGACGGAGACCCTGAGCGGGCACGCACCTGGGCCACGTCCGCCCTCCCTACCCATGGAAACTGTGAGACGAAATGTGGGTTTTAAGCTGGTAAATTTGTTATGCAGCCACAGAAAACATATCTATTATGTGTCCATAGCTGAGAATGCAAAAAAAAGAAGAAACGCCATTCCCATCCTGAAGGTCCTCACGGGCTGGTGGGGGAGACAGCGAACTTAAAGACGCAATTTAGAGCAAAAAGAGTTGTCCTGGAAATAGGACCGGGGGGTGCTTCTGGCTGCCATGGCCGGCTGAACGCACTGCTGCCCAAACCCTCATGATGCCGGTGACAAAGGCCTCAGCCACAAACGTGAAGATGATGTGAGCTGAGAAACGACGAGTCTGTTCTTTCCCTGGCTCGTTGGCTGGGTGCCCTAACCCGGGAATTTTCTGTGGCCGTGAATTCCTCCCCCACCTGCCACAGGGACTTGGCAGTAGGAGAAAATGAGGTCAACAAACAGCAGTCCAGCTGAGAGGTGAAAAGACAGAATCCTGAAGACGTTGGATGCCCTTGGTCCAGCTGCACCTGAAGCCAGCTTGACTCCCACCCTCTGCAAGCAAAGGAGCCCATCCGCCTTGGAGATTTCGTTCCCTGGCATCCAAGTGCCTTGGCTAATTAATATGGACACACAGCTCAGTGAACAGTAGAGGGAGATCCCAGTAAATTTTAATTACTCTTGTCGTTACTAAACTGACTATTTATATGAACTAATTCAGCTCTCTGAATATTTAAGGACAGCCGCCTCATTTCTGGGCACTCCTCTGGGAGGACTGAATTTTGTGTGCAAAAGAGGGCCTCGCAATATGGACAGCTCCCTCGCGATTAAGGACACACAGACATCTCCCGTGAGGCCTCTGCGATCGGGAGGGGCCGTCCGGCTTGCCTGCGATTTGCCATCCCAAAGCTTTTTGAAAGGATGGTCTAATGTGTGGAAGTGCTGGACGCAGAGAGGCCCCAGGAACAACCCATGGCAGGTGGCCATTGTAGGACAGGGAGTCGTGGCCCCGTGAGTGTGGGGGCTGCAGCCGGCAGCTGAGAGGCCTGGATGCGCCCCACGGTCTCCAGCGCCCCTCAGGGTGTGTCGTCTCTTTGCAGGAGGGGAGGGTCCACATGCTGTCAGAGCGCATCAGTGCTCCCACACGGCTTGACTCGCTACAGATGGGACCCCAGAAGGAGCCCTAGACGTTCGAACAGATCAGGTTGCTCAGATCTGCAGTCAGCTCCTGCCTGGACACAGCCTTCCTCCTTGTGAGCGGGCCGGCAGGCCTGGAGAACTTGCCCGGGCTGGGCGTGATCTGCAGGTACTGGTCAGTGCCGCTGTTCTGCGGGTCGCTGCTGGAGGCTGCCGACATGGAGTCAGACTCGGTGAGGGCCGGCTCACCCCGGGGCTTGGCCCTGGGCCTCGGGGGCTGCTGCAGGTGCTGGACATTCCGGGGGCGCGGCTTTCTGTGCATGTACACCGGCCTGTCAAGGGGACCCTCAAAACCGTCGTTCCAGGACGTATAGAGCCCCCATCCCTGGTGCTCGGGAGCCAGCGTCTGGCTCCCTGACCTCTCACCGACGTAGAAATGGGGGGCCCCGTGGAGGTCGATCAGGGAGCGAGGGTGGAAGTACCCCTTGACCCACTCTCTCCTCAGCGTCTCCTCCTCCTCCTCGTCACTCAGCTGCGGAGAGCGAGCCGGCTGAGGCGCCCGGGACCCACAGGGCCGCACATTCCGGGGGAACATCTCCACGACGTCCCCTAAGGCGTCGATCTTGAAATGTCTCTCCGGCCAGAAAGTCTGATGGGGCTTTTTGTGAGAGTCACGCTCATTGACGACATAGTACCTGGGGGCGTGGGGCCTGTGGCCATGTGGCCCCGGGCCCGAGACCCCCGGTCCAGGAAGAGGAGGGTGGATTCGCCAGAAGTCTCTTCGGTAAAGAGGCTCTGAGTGAGCGTCTCCGAGGCGTTCTGCAAACGTGACAGGTGTGCAGGCTCGGTTCCTGGGACGGTCTCCTGTGCTGGTCCCCGGACCCCGTGGATACCTGTAAGACAGGGGTGGTCAAGCCCGGTGGCCTGAGTGCTCTCAGAGCCCCACCCGCTCCAGCATCGCTTCTCCCTGCGTCTTCGCCCAGCCTGGTGCCGCGGGTGGAGGAGGGTCCGCGGACCGCGTGCCTAGGAGCGTTTCCAGGTGTCTCCACGGCGGGAATTCTCAGACGTGCCCCGCGAATCTCCACGGAGTGGGGAGGGCAGAGGTGTTTTGCTAATATGCTGCATTATGGAGCACATAGTGGGATCAATATTTGTGGAGCACATATTAGGAACACTGCTCCCCACCGTCTGCCACACAGCCTTCAAGGACGCGTCCCCTGGGCCCACCCGGGTTTGTCGGAATCCTTCCTCCTGGTCAAGGCCCCAGAGAGACTGAAGATGACCCCTCACGTAGTGAGATTTCCAGTTCTCTGTTAACTTAGTCATTGTTTTTAAAAAAAAACCCAACCCTCCCAAACCAGCACTCCCTGTGTTTCATCTACACGGTTTCACTGTGTTCCTTTCAGATCAGGTGTGGTTCTCCATGTGCATTTGGGTCAGTGCATCCCTCTGGAGGGAATGCCGGGCTCCTGCTTCCTTCCGTGTAAGTGAGGCTGGAACAACTGACCCCCTAGAATACAGAGATGCTCCTGCCTAGAACTGGGCCAGCCTGGAGCTAAGATCTAAAGACCTTGCCAATAATATGGCCGGTCTGGAGTTAAAAAAATAAAAGAGAAAAACATTTTAAAAGGCATTTTCTTTCCTTGGGCTGTAGAAGTACATCCCCCGGGTGGGCAGGAAGATTTGCCTCCAGGCTACATGGCAGGAGGCCTAGGAGGAAGGGTTTGCCCCGTCTGCCAAACTCCGTCCCTCCCTTTCTTCTCACACCAGCTGCTGCAGTTCTTGACCCCGTGGCCTTCTGGCAGAAACAGGATTCAGTGGCCCTGCCTCCTGACCCTGTTGGGGCCTCCCATCCCTGAGGCTGTGTGCCCTGCACCGTGTGGCTCGGGCCATTGCTGGTCGGGGTCTCCGTCAAGGAGGAGATGTCCTGCTGTGCGGCCCTGAGCTCACCTGTTCCCATCTTGCCCTGGCCTGGATTTGGAGACGCCGGGAAGTGACGCACTGGGACTGCTGGTCCCTGGCCCGGGACTCCAGGGTGTGGGTTGGGCGACGGCCTCCACCCTGCCGCTCTTGCCACTGGGTGAGTCGAAGCTGACCGCGGTGCAGTCGTTCTGGGGAGTGGCGGAGGGAGCTGAGGACAGCTGGCTGCCAAGGTCACTGTCCTTCGCAAGCCTCTTGGCGCCTTCGTCCTGCGTCTGGATTCGGGCTGCGGGAAGAGGCAGGGCTGTGAGAAGAGGGGCCCCCCGTGGGGGTGGGGGGCGCACATTCAGGTCGGTTTAGCTGGAAGTGTGACTTCCAACAGTGGGGTCCACACGCAGCAGGACACACTTGCAGACACACACAACCTGTGGGCCGCAAACACTTTGTGGTTCCAGTCATTTCTTCACAGACATTCGGGGCTGGAAGGGAGTGTTGGAGGAAGCAAATGCACCCGCAGCTTTGCAGACACACCTGCTGATGCCCCACGAGGCGATGTGGGCTATTCAGCAGCTGTGGGGCTCTAGTCCCTTATCTGTACAAGGGACCTGAGAAAGCTCATGTGACAATTATGATGCCTTGGAAACAGTTCACAGAGCATTCTGAGAAATGAATGTGGCCTTGAGCTGGAAAATGGGCTTCGGACAATGAAATGGTGACCCTGAGAACGTCTGCAGAGATCCTAATCTTTGAAGACAACCGGAACTAAGCTTAAGTATGCTCCAGGGGCAAATAACACTTGACAATGACAGTGGGGTTTCACAGAAAGAGCCGCCGTCTCTCCCCACAGCAATTGCCAGTTACAGGCTGCTCTCTGGAAAGGCAGACGGGGCGAGCATAACCCTGAGGCCCCAGACTTTGTATCGGGCATTTTCCTGGAGGAGAATAAACCCTTCCCCATTAGCTCAGAATTAAACGGGCAGAAGAGTTGGCCCACAGAGGCTTTCGGGGTCTCATTCGCATTCATTTTCTGAAGGAGAATATGGATTGAGCCATGTGAATGTTGCCTAGCATCCTTCTGGCTCACAGCACCATCAGTGGTCCCAGGGGGCAGACACGCTTCCTCTGAGCTGTGCCCACCCATGTTCCCACCCTTCACATCAGACTCCTGCTCCCGACGTCTCGTCCTTTCTGCCCGGAGGCTCCTTCCCGCTCCCTGGTCGGGCCCACGTGGGAAGAGTTTGTGTAGGTGCAGCTGGAGAAGATGAGAAGCAAAACTGGGCCCGTGGGGTTTGGGTTTCTCACTGGGGGATCTGTTTTCGTGGCTGAGCCTGCCCATTTGGCATTCTCTGCAGGAGGGGACAGAGAACAGAACCTAGGGAGGCTGGACCCTGGGGCAGAGACCTGGGGAGGGGCGAAGTGATTCTGAAGAGTTAAGGTCTCTGACCAATTAACCTTGAGTTAATCAAAAGGGAGACTATCCTGGGTGGGTCTGACCTAATCAGGTGAGTCCTTTTAAAAAAGAGTGTGTGGGGCCAGCCCTGTAGCTGAGTGGTTAAGTTCGCGAGCTCCGCTTTGGTGTCCCAGGGTTTGGCTGGTTCAGATCTAGGGGGTGGATATGGCACCGCTCATCAGGCCATGTTGAGGTGGCATCCCACGTGCCACAACTAGAAGAACCCACCACTAAAATGTGCAACTATGTACCGGGGGCTTTGGGGAGGGAAAAAAATAAAGAGTGTGCAGGCCTTCCCTGGAGAAAGATATCCGAAACGGGCCATTGAGAGGAAGTACACAAAACTGAACAAGATGAAGACATTCTTACAAGTTTTTCCCCCAGACTTTTGTGCTGCTTTATCTCTCCTCCTTCAAAATTTCCTTCTGATTTCAGACACATTTTGGAGTTATTCACAGGCCTGGGTACGATGTAAAAATTGTAGATTTAAACCAAAATTTATATCCCTACATTTTATTGTATTGCGCCCAGTTAAAAAGTTTCTCAGGAATTTTTATCGTTAGCGTACCTTAAACTGCTACATTTTTAAATGCCACAGACTGAGACATCAGCCACTTTTGTGTACTTACCTTCTACCATTTGGGCAACCTTTTTCTTATCTTCAGATCTTGCCTAAAATACAAACGATAATCATATGTTTGTTTTAGATGTAGCAGGAAGCAGTAACAAATACTTTTCTTGGGGGGAAAATGACGTGTGCCTCCTTGCTCTGACCTTGGGCCAGGCCTGAACGCCTGCAGCCACCTGGTGACCGTGTGCTCTGGACTCAGGCCTGTCACCTGAGTGAATAAACTCTGACAGCTGAGAGCTGGAGTTTTATCCCTAGCCAGTTCTGTTTTTAGGGGCAGCTGTTTGATGGACCATGTTTAGATTCTGCCAATAATATTTTGCCTGAGACACAAAAGAGAAAATATGGACCAACCACACGGGAGACATACGTTTCGATAAAAATGCCCCTTGTGACTCCAAAGGCATTTCTTATTTGACTATTTACATGAACGAGTTGGTGTTTCTTTACATGAATGGATATTCATGGCAGTTATTTTATTAAAAATTGGAAAAGGCGGACGTTCTCTGCACGGGGCTCTGGGACTGGGGTGACGTAAGTGAGGCGCTCAGGGGCCAAATTTAAGGAGCTGCCCACTGTCGGGGCTGTGAAAGTGCAGGGGCGGTGGGACCCTGAGCGTCTGTGCCTCCCTGAGTTGGCATCCTGGTGCCTCTCTCGCCTCGCCCTGGTCCTGGCCCTGGGGGAGCCCTGGGTGCGAGGAGGAGGAATCGTGGAAGGATGGGGAGTGTTGGTCTCGCTCTGACTGTTGAGTGCTAAGGATGGGAGAGAGGGTGACGACAAGCAGCGTCTAAAAGATACGAAACAGTTGTATCTTTATGTCCAGGCAGTGCCCTTGGGCTCGGAGGTCTCAGCTCTCTGGGATAGGGAACCATCCTTCCTTCCCCCTCCCAGCCTGGCACGGCCAACACAGGAGTCCGACACACTGAGGGCTCGGTGTGGCCACAGAGGGCCGCTGACAGGCTCAGGGCGCCAGTGGGGTGGCCTGGAGTGGAGGAGGAATGGCAGCAGGCTCCCTCCTGGGCCGACGGGAGCTGACCCAGGGCCTTCTTAGAAAGATCTGGGAGATCCTGGCGGGGAGGGCTGGCTTTGCACCCTAGGGTGGGGTCCAGAGTCCCTGTTATTTCAAACTGTGGCCTCACGTGTCCCAGTCAGGGGCTGACGCACATGCACGAGAGCACAGACTTCTCAATACTTGCATTTTGGATTTGCATCTTGAGCTGGTGGTTGCTGAGCTTCAGGGACCTGGCGATGCTCTGCAGGTAGTAGATGAGCAAGCTGGGAGGGAACGGCACGGGGAGGTGAGCGCGCTCCGGCAGGCCTGTGGGCCTGTCAGGCCAGGCTCCCTGCACAGTGGGTGGCAGGAACCAGCAGTTCCCAGGCCAGACGTGGGCCACCCACCGACCCCTCACTGAGGACAAAAGGCCTCGGCGAGCTCTCGAGCCTGCCCCCTGCCTTTCGTCCTTCCCTTCTTCCTCCTGCTTTTTACGGCACCCTCCAGTGACCTGGGATTCTGCTCTAAGAAAGGAGCACCGATGGGAGGGGCGTTTTACACTGCATCGAGCTGCGAGTCCTGGATCTGCTTGCTGTTGCTTTTCCTTTAAGCCAAAGCAAGCAGAAGCCACTCAGCTGAATTGAAAAATTCCTTTTCTAGATTATTTAGAGTTCGTAGAATAAGACAATGATAATGGCATCCACCCCCATTACAGTGGCCTCAGGTTGCCCGCGTGCTGTGGACAGATCAGCCACATCACCTCTGCGGCTCCCCCGTGAGTCAGGGTCCCCACTTAGATACTTGGGCTCCATCAGCGGCTTTCGGATGGATTCACTGACTTTATATCATCATTGGAAAGTGATGGTTTCTTGTTGGCCAAACGTGCAGAAATCCCCCAAAGCTGGTGGGGAAGCTGTGGGCGGTACTCACAGAAGCAGCAGCACGCCTGGCAGGATGACCACGGGGCTGCTGACGTACCCCATCGCGGAGCCGAACCACGCCGGGAAGTCCTTCTCTATCGTCTCCGACACAATGTCGTAAATCTTCTCTTGTCCACTGTGAGAAAGAAGAGCGTTTATCCCCAGATGGGGTTGCTTTTGGCAGAAGGATGCTGTGAGCCGTCAGAAAGATGGCCACATGGCTGCCGTCCAGTCCTCCAAGTCGGTGACAGAGCGAGAGAAAATATCCTGGTGTAAAAGATACACAACCTTCCCAAGACGATTACAGAGCAAGTGGCCATCTAGTCAGTATGTGGGTCTGAAGGCGGGGCCAATAGTCACATTTTGCGTGTGTGTGTGTTTTAACAACGTATACAAAGACTGACTCTAAATATTACACGTATTCTGTATCAAGGCTGACTTAAAGCGAATGCTGGGCAAAGGTACCTCGAGATTCCTGCCTTGATGGAGCTGATAATGCAGAATGGAAAAGGAGGTGGACCAACTTTTGGTAAAAGCTTTCTGAGTTCTGGGAGGGGAAGGTGGACCAGGTAGACTTTCTTTCTAGCCCTGGAGCAGTGTTGCTCCTTTCTGGTTTTTAAATGGGCCGTATCTGTTAAAGGCGAGCACAGAGAGGATCATGCTCCAGGGTGGCCTGCTGGTCAACACAGCGCACTGGTCTCAGATGGAAAGCCAGGGGCTTGACATCTTTCCGTGTCATTAACCTGGTCTGAGAGCCAGAAGGAGAGTTCAGTTCAACGCAGGGGTCCTTCCCACAGCCTTCGACGACTCCAGGCAGAGCCGAGGGAACCAAAGTCACTCACCTGAACGGCCCACAGTTTAGAGATGGCTTGTATCGGACGATAGCGAAAATGGTCGGCAGCATGCACAGGAAGAGCATAAACAGGAGCATTGACAAGTAGAAGTTGTTGGATCTGCAAAGAAACCCAGTGCCACGTGTTGAGTTCACTCTACAGCCAGTTGCCGATGAGACATATGCCCGAAGAACCGACACAGAAGCCTAGCCCTGACCCTGCAAACAGAAGAATCCTGCCTAAGAGATGGTCAGTCCTAGGTCACAGGCAGCTTGGCAAACTAGAAATCAGGGGTCAAAGGGACTTCACAGACCGTCCAACCCAACCCGTTCATCTACTAAACATTTTTTTTTAATTAAAAAAAATTTTTTTTTTTAGGAAGATTAGCCCTGAGCTAACATCTGCTGCCAATCCTCCTCTTTTTGCTGAGGAAGACGGGCCCTGAGCTAACATCGTGCCCATCTTCCTCTACTTTATATGTGGGATGCCTACCACAGCATGGCATGCCAATGGATGCCTGTCCGCACCCGGGATCCAAACCGGTGAACCCTGGGCCGCCAAAGCAGAGCGTGCGCACTTAACCGCTGCACTACCGGGCCGGCCCCTCACCTACTAAACATTTGCTGGGTGCCTGTCCAACTCAAAATGTGGGAGTGGTGAACCCATGGCCTCCACCCAGTGAGCTCAGTTCATGGAAAAGTCATGAACCTTTGTCCCACGCACCCGTTCCCCCTAAGGGTTCCCTCCCCCGTTCCCAGCCTTGAGCTTGTCTCCTGTGTCTGAGGGCGGCAGATTCTTGACTCTCTCACTAGGATGTGCCTCTCATCCTCTCTGCTCCTGGCTGCACAGGGTAGATGTTCTGCATCACTGAGCCCCAGGCCCCGGGCTCGAAGCTGGTGTCAGGGAGCTCGGCGGTCCAGGCCTCTCCTGGGGTGGCACAGAGCCACCTGGTGTTCAAGGCCCTGTACACAGTTCTGAAAACAGAGTGGTCAGTCCACCTAGAGACTGTCCACCAGCTCTCTCTGTCTCTCTTTAAGAAAGTAGACTGGACCAGAACAGAGTAGAAAATACAAGATTGCACGGGATGTAGTAAGTAGGTGTTAATTTGTGACAGCTTTCTCTCTCTCCCTCTTCCCGTGTCTCTCTCTCTATATCATATGTATACATTTGTGTGCGTACTCATTTATATGTACATACACAGGTATTCATGCATGTATACATGTACATGTAAGTGGATATACACATGCTTATGTGAATTATCTATAAAAACACATACAGACGTATGAGCACGTGCATGTATGTGTCCTGGTCACTAGTAAAATATAAACACACTGTCACTCAGGTTATAGCCAAAAAGTTTGTAAGCCGCTGATACCCCCCCACATAAATAACTATTATTTCAAGATAAAATAAATGAGCTCTGATCGAGGAGTTCAAAAATGTGTTGTGAATTCGCCAAAATGGCTAAAATGGAAAACACAGACAAGAACAAGTGTCGGCAAGCTTGTGGGACAACCGGAGCTCTAGAAGGCTCCATAGAAGGCTGGCGGAAGTGACACAGGTGCCGTCTCCTAGAGGCTCGCGTGCCCCACGACCAGCAGCTGCTCTCCTAGATGTGCGCCCGAGAAAAGGCACCTCTGAGGATGCTCAAGGCAGCAATTTTCACTACAGCTGATAGTTGAAACAACCCACGTGCCCATCGAAAGTAGCACGGGTGGAGAAACAGAGGTGTGCTTGCTCAATGAGACGAACCTCACAAGGACAATATCTGGGGAAATAAGGCAGAAACCAGAGCTCCCACGTGTGCGACTCCGTTCACGGGGAGTCAAAAGCCAGGCAAAACCAATTGTGGAGGCAGAAGTCGGTGGGGACTGGAGCTGAGTACAAGGGGGCGCTTCTGGTTGTCGTTCATGTTCTCGATCTGGGTGCTGGTCGCATGCTCGTGTTCAGTTTGTGAATATTCCTCAGGCTGGGTATTTACCATTCGTGCACTTTCTAAACGATTGTTAAACTTCAGGAAAAAGCTTAAGAAAATATGTGATGAGCTTAAGAGGAATGACGATTCATTCCAAGGGTGGGGCGTAGGAAATGGCTTCAGGGAGGAAATAATTTGGAGGACAGACAAGGTTGCAAACAGGCAGAGAGCTGGGGAGACCCCCCTGCTGGAGGTTGGCCTGGATCAGGCGACGTGGACGATACGAGTTCTGGTCTGAAGCCGACCCGACTCCCACTGACCTGGAGGCTCGAAACACCTGCTGGTGGGGCACGTTGCAGGTCAGCACCGCCCAGCTCCTCAGGTACATGAGCCCGATCAGCTTGAGGACGTTGAAGGCAGGCAGGCAGGGGGAGAAGAAGGCCCCCATCCTGGAACCAGGAAGGGCGGCTAGTCAGCGTAGGTTCTCTTCCCATCTAAAAGGGTTCTGAGACGCTCTGCTTAAAGAACGGGAGAAACCCCCAAAGCTCTGACACCCCAACCCTCCGCCTTCAGACACAAATCACTTCTGCAGGTGAGTTAAAACATCCTCTTTGCCCTGCTTGTCTCTGTCTTCACAGTTAGCAAGAAAAAGCCCTCTTCTGCTAGGAGGCCAATGATAGGAGACCACAGTTTGGGGCAAGCTCTAGATTTCGCCCGTCGGTGCCGAGGGCTGTGTTAATACCCACAGACTTTCAGGTCCGGTCAGCGTACACCCAGCAGCTATTCTGTTGGGCCTGGTGCCAAGCACCCTCCCACATTTCAGCTCATTTAATCTGCTGCAATCATGAAAGGAGGGAGAAATAACCAAAGTTTATAGAGCATGGTGGGCGGGGCCAAGGAAATGAAGTGGTTTCCTCCAAGACATGTTGCTAACAAAAGGGCGACCCTGTATCATCCAAATTGAGATACTTCTGAGAGCGACAGATCTGGAATGACAGGCAAGAACTGGACCATCCCAGGGAAACGGACACGTAGTTACCCTGCAGATGGTGTCATGTGTGGAATACAATCCAGACCTTCCAACTTTAAGGCTACACCTGTTTATACTGGATGTGTATTCAACACAATACTTCCGGAATTTGGACTTAGCGGTAGGAAAATAAGTGTAGACATACAGAAATGTTTAATAAGTAAAAGCTTTTAAAAAGAAACTTTCTGTTTCTCACAGATGGCGGGCAAAATATCACTGGCTGTGTGATGTTAGGCAAGACACTTAGCTTCTCTGTGCCTCAATTTCCTCAAATTTAAAATGGAGAAGATAATATTAGTTACCTTATAGGGTTTCTATAAGGATTAAACTTGTTACTACAGGTATAACAGTGTCTTATGTCTACCAAATGTCACGTGTTATTTTTAATACTGTATCTGTGAAAATATTTTTCAAAAGAAGTAGACTGTGGGAATATAGAATTTGATTGAAGGAATGTCACTTTATAGCTCTCGATTTCCCATGTGTTTCACGGAAGGATTATGAAGAGAGGTTGTGTTTTCTGAACGTACGGAACATTCGAAGTTGTTCTTTCTCTGTTTGCTTGTGTTTTAACAAACAGCACTATCTGTGGTCCAGGAGGTAAAACCAGAGATGAAGGGGTGACCTGGGGAGCTCTCCGCTGGCCCCCCAAACACACACATCTACGTGGACCAGACGCCCCTCTGAGCTCTTTGCTGTCTTTGGGAATGGGATTGCATTGGCCGGAAGTCGCCCTGTGTGGACGGACTTCCCGAGATTCCGGCCTCTCCGCAGGGTGGGTCTGCAGTCCAGGGATGGCCGTGCCCCTGGCTCAGTGTCTAAGTGAAAACGTGGACGCACAGGGGACGGACAGTGGGTGGCTGAGGGCAGGGCTGGCCACGCCTAGAAGTCCCCCTGGGGGGTTAGCGGCCTCTTCTCCGGGCTTCCCCTGGTCCTCCCCATCGGTTCCTGTGCAGATATTTTTGGTTGTAATCATAGTGGCCTAAAAATGGACTGTTTCCTTTCACCACTCCTTTCTGCAAAATGTTTTTAGAAAACCATTACTTTTATTAAAAAAATTACTATCCATGTGAAACATTTCAATTAGAGACTGTTTGTGTTCTTCTTAATTCTTATGATTGTGTTTCTTATGGTCACATCCCAACCAGAGGAAGTAAATTCAAACTTTAGCCCAGCGGAGATGTAAGCAAAGCCAAGAAGAGGCGTTGACACCTACCAGATCATCCCTTGGTTGTAGACCAGATGCAGCACGTTCTCGGCTATTTTGAATTCCCCGTATTCAGGCTACAAGAGAAATGAACTCCCGCATCAGAAAACATTCCATAGTTCTTTGCATAAAGCAATTCCCGATGGTCACACACATAGACTCTTGTCCACGTCAGCAGAGATCATTGTCTGGGTGGTCGTCTCAGCAAACAGAACAGGTAAGAACGAAATGGAAACGCAGCCGTCTACGCCATTTCCCTCCTCCCTCACGTATTTTCCCTCGGCCACGTCTGTCTCCCAGTCTAGACATCAAAAAAGCGTAGATCTAGCCAGATGAACGTCCTCGGTGGACACAGCCTATTACTTACAAACTTGCTTTCCAGGTCCCAACACCAGTAGTCGCTCAGGTACCGAACGAAAAGCCCTCGGAAGAAGTCTATGAGCAGGATGCTGGCCACCGTGAAGAGCATGTCGATGATGGAAAGCTTCAGCATCTCCTGAAACACAGGGGTCCTCTACGCCTCCGCGTCCTGCCCTCCACTGCCCACCTCTTCCTTCCTGCCCCCGTCTCTGTTCATGCCCATGGGCTTGAACCACTGGGCCTCTCCAACGGCATGTAATGGATGCTCAGTAAATATCTGCTAATTTGAATTTTGACACCCAAGGCCAGCATTACACGAAACCGGGAGAGCATCTCAGGTCTGTGGTTCTGTAGCCACAGGAGGCTACTCGGGGCCTGGGACTCAATTTCATGGGATAATTCCTCGGGCTTGAGCTTCTCTACAAGTTGAGGTGTCGAAGGTGGAAGGCAGGGCACAGAGACTGGAGCAGACGCCGGGGTTCGGGCCTTCATTCTGCTCTCTACCATTTATGTCCCTGAGCAAGTTATGTAATGTCTTGTGCCTCAGTTTCCTCATCTGTGCTTAAAGGGATGGTAATAATAGGACTCTTACAGGACTAAGCACTTAGAACAGAGCCTGGTGCACAGTCAACACTGCTTGAGGCTTTGCACCAATTATTATTATTAACTTTGAGGCCTGGAAAACCGTAAACCCTCCCCGAAGCTTATTTTGCTTTTCTATAAAACGGGGATGGCAACACTTCAGAGAGTTGCTGGAGTTAAGGGACGAAACAGATGAGGAAAGGCTTTACAGGGGGACGGGGAACCACCTGCCCAACGTATGTTTCCCAGCACTGGTCTTGCGGCCTCTGGGTGTAGACGGTGGTCCTGTTGTCCTCTGAGAGAGGCGGGGTGGAAGTCGGGAGGCCAGCTTCCTCCAGGGCCCACGTGCTGTTTCTCCTGAGCCCCATCCCGGGCCCAGGTGTGGACCATTTCCCTTCCTCAGGGGCTGTCCTGGTGGCAAAGATGACGGTGGAATCTACCCAGGGACTCGTGCTGTTTTTGGCAGCAGCTTCCTGGGGGGGAGAACGGGGGAAGGAAGAAAAGAAGATTGTCCACGTAGCTGTAAATACAAACCCACCCAGCCACCAAGGGCATCACTGAGCTGTTGGGCAGAACCTCTCTCTGTCTCTGTATCTCTGTCTCTCACTGTCTCCACCTCTCTTTCCCTTTCTGTCTCCAGCTTGGCAGATGGCCACTCGACTCAAGTCTGCCCCGATAATGAACACAGAGCTGTGATGGACACTATTCATCCGTCCCTAGTAAGTGTCAGAGGCGGTCCCAGGTTGGTACATGTTATCGCTTCCCATCCTCACGAGAGGGTCAGGGAGGGATGATGACCCCGTATCACAGAGGAGAAGACTGGAGCTCAGCTAGTGGAAGTCGAGCGCCCACGGTCCTGTTGCTGGTCGGTGCGGGCGAGGACCCAGTCTATGCAACAGGAAAGCCTGGCGCGCAGCCGTCACTGCCTGCGGCCTCTTCCGCCTTGTACGCCGCCTGCATTTGGTGCTAGTTCCGTGCGGTCAGGGCAAATAGCCCTGAGAGAGCTCCTTGTCCTCTGTGCCTCCCTTCCCCGCATCGGGACACCCTCACAGGTGGGGCAGCTTTAACTCGAGCTCCAAAGCTACTCTGGGCTGGGAGTGGATGCCCACGCTGGGCTGGCAGCGGGCCCACTCTGAGCTGTGCCCCACGAGGGGCCCGTCTTCTCCCAGCTCCCTGAGTGAGTCTCACAGCGGGCCACGCTCCCTGTGACCATCTGCAATGGCTATCGATGGCGTCTCCCGTGGGATTCAAGGGAATGGGGTAGAATTGTGGAAAGATATTCGGGGCCAAAAGGCCGGGGGCTCATCCCGGCACTGCCTCTCTGTAGCCATCAACCCCGGCCTCAGTTTCTTTATCTTGGCAATGGGGCCAATTTTCCCATTCTGACCTTGAGAAGACCTCAACTGAGCTGAGCTTTGCACATGACGAAGGGAGTGTAAACATCAACAATGGTGATGACCTGCGTGTGCATGTGTGCGTGTGTGTGCAGGTGCGTGTCTACATGCTTGTGTGTACATGCGTGCATGTGCATGTGTGTGTGTGTGTGCACTTGCGGGTGCACGTCTGTCTACGTGCTCCTGTGTGCACATGCGACAGTGGCTGAGTGGGCGACCGTGCAGGACGGAGCACTCACCTCGGTGCTCATGCTGTTGACTTTGTCCAGGAGAGCGATGATCAGACTGTAGAGGTTCCCCAGATACAGCACGAGGACCCTGAAAGCCACAAGCCATCTTGAGACACAGCCCCACACAGGGCAGCCCATGGGCCTCGACCCAGCACAATTTAGGGGGGACTATTGTGGTTATGCTAAGACTGTAGCCGCCGCCCTTGGGTTCCCTCAGAATCACATTGGGTGCATTTTAAAAAATACGGAATTCCTGAGTCCACCCTCTTCTGCAGGTCCGCATGGTGTCTGGGAATCTTACAGCCTCCCCGGCGATTGCACTGCAGCCCGTCCTCAACCAGCACTTAAGAAGCACAGTGTAGTGGGAAGAGAGCTCTGAGGTGTCACGTCAATTGTACGTGTCTCTGTGTCACAGTTTCTGGTTTGTAAAGTGGTTTTCTAGCATTATCGCACCTGATTCTCACAACTCTGTGGGCTACGCATCGTTATTACCCCACCTAAGGGACAAGTGCACTGAACCACCGACCCGTCCAAGTGCACACGGTTAAGCAGAGGCAGTGCGCTGTTTCAGGTCTCAGGGGTCAGGTGTTGAAACAGGCTGCACCTTCAGATGCACTGAGGGGTGAAGCGGGAGGCACCATGGGCACAGCCACACCGCCTGGAATCTGCCAGAATGGCCTCCACCAGCCAACGACCCACACCTGGTGCCGGCCTCGCCTGAGCTGGATGGTTTGGGAAATGCATCCGGGAATTTCTGGACGCAGCCTTCAGTCTGATCAGAAGGTTGTCCTGAAAAACTGAGATGAGGAAGGAAAATGGAAGGCTCGCAAAGACCCCAGGGGACAATGGTCAGCACTTGAGAATCACGAAACCATAGCCAGTGGGTGACAAAGAGAAAGGAGGCCCTTCCTCTCCTGGGGTGAGCAGAGAGCGGGGCCAGGGCGTCTCCGGGAGTCCCTGTGACTCACGCTGGCTTTCCCTGTGGGACTGGAGCAATGCCCTTGGCCTCATGCTGGGAGCTTTTCTGCATTCGAGGTACCTAGTCAGGGGCCAGGCCCCCAAGGAGACTCAGCCAGTGCTGGCCAAAGGCAGAGCGAAGGATCTTGTCTCCTGCCCTCTTGGGGGCCCGTCGCTCTGGTTCTCCCTGAGTCTTGGATGGAAGGTAACACCGTCTGCTGATTAGTGGATGGAACCAAAATAATTGTCTTGCTCTCATTACCAGAATTAGGCCTAATTTGTCTCGGGTGAGTCTCTTGATGCCTCTGTTTCTTCAGTTTTGCACGTGAATAACGAGGCCAATCTGCGTAATAGGATTGCCATTAGACCAAATGCAATAACAGAATCGATTCTCCTCGACGCCTGCTGGTGAGGACGGAGCGCGGAAGGCGCCTGCCTCTCCCAGGTCAAGAGGTGCTGACGGGAGCGCACAGTCCCAGGGGCGGAGCCGGGGGCCGAGCGTCATCCAGAACTGCCCTGGTCAAGAGGCGCCGCAGACCCCTCGCTCCTTCTAGTCTTGTTTTTCCTTCTTTGAAGTGACAGTTGGATTTCAGGGGGTGGCAAACTGCAGCCTTCACGCCCAGTGCCACCCTCCCCTATTTGTCAACGGGGCTGCGAGGGACACGCCACGCTCTCGTTTACATCTCGCCGAGGGCGGCCTTCACCTCCAGCCGCAGAGCCGGGCAGGTGGGACAGAGACCGTGCGACCCGCAAAACCCAACATATTGACTGTCGGGTCCTTTACAGAAGACGTCTGCCGACCCCTGAGTGGGAGCATCTCTTCCCAAAGTGGCCCGTGGGAACTCTGTCCTGGGGTCGAGCGTGATCTTCGCTTGTGATCAGTGTTACAAGAGGAAGCACGAGGAGAGAGAAGCAGACGAGGGTGGGTGGGAGGCAGTCAGAGCTCTGACAGCGCCCGCTGCCCCTCCAACCTAATGACACGCCCAGACCTCCTCGTTTCATTCACAGAGAGGCGACAGCTCCAGGAAGGAGAGGCTGGTTTCTTGGGAAGACAGAGATGAAGCAGGTGCCAAAAAATGACGTGTGTCGTCCTGACCCCATGGGCTGTGTCTCAGGACGTCCTCGCAGACTCACCTGCCCCATGTTGCTCAGGTCTGCATTCGCCACCTGCTGCCACACCCACGACCATCCCGACGGCCCCAGACGCTCCCCGGCATGTCCTCAAGAACCTGTGAGTCTGTGCTTTTGGGAATTATTAGCAAAGCATTATTTATGTTCATCTCGTATCTGGAAGAATGACCCGGAGTTCTTTCACCGCTCGTAGTCGATCCACGGAGGAACTCGGCAACGAGGAGAAGCAGGCAGGCTTTCCATCGTCTTTCCGGTCCTCTTTCTCCTGGATCTGCTTTTTCTGGCTGTGCCTCCTCTTCTCTCCTCTCCCTCCCTCTCCTCCTCCTCCACGTCCTCCTCTTCTTCTCTCATTACCTTTGCATCCATTTCTCGTACCCTTGCCCTCCTGGTTCTTCTCCTGCCCCCTCGTCTCTCCCTCCTCCTTCCTGCCTTTCTCTCTGTGGCATCCTGCTTTTCTTGAGAGGCATCCACGAGGGAAATTCTCTGCTAACTTTTGGGGGGAACGAAGCAAGCCCTGGCTCTCACAGGACTTAGGTTCCCCCCTCGGCTCGGCGGACGAGTGACCCACAAAGTGGCATTTCCCAGCGGGGCTCCCCTACCTGGCCAGCTGGAAGCGCAGGGTGGTCCGAGGGTGGTACATCTCCAGGGCGGCGATGAGGTCGAAGGCGGATGGTGCCAGCATGGTGACGAGGGAGACGACCACGCTCACCTGCCGGGAGAGCACACGCAGACCTGAGCGACCCCAGCCCCCAGCCCAGCCTCATGCCCCTCCCGTTCGGTCCTTAGCCTAATAGCTGGTCAGTGGGAGTTCAGAGACACGTGGTTCTTGCACCGAAAACCTGCCCCAAATCTCTGCTAATTAGCGGTTTCAAAAGGCCACTCCCGCTTCACCGTGGGTTCATTCCTTTTAGGAACGCTCCTCCACCGGAAGACACTCCTGCGTGCCATTTGGCACTCACTATCATTTCTGCCACATCTTCCAATTACCATGTCATTCTGTTCACGTTTCCCTGGGCTTGGATGGAAGATGGAAACAACGGCAACAATTAAGAGCAGAAAAGGGAAGGCTGAGAGTTAATTTAATATGCTTTCTGCACACGGAAGATTAATTATCCCGAGAATTATGCCTGGAGCTCGTTTCTCCGCACTGCGGGCAAATCTAAGGGGAGATGGAGCTGGTGCACAAGAGGTGTGAGCTGGAGGAAGAAATAATTTCTGAGTATGTCTTTAAAAGTTTATCTGTCTGTAAACCCACAGGCACGTATTTACATCACCTGCTGAACTGACCTAAAATAGGAAGAGTTATGGCAAAAGAATACCTAACGTAGTCTCAGATTTTGAGAAATTATCACCCACTGAGGATAAATTGATAAGCATCACACACTTTGTTTTTTAATCCCCACGGATGATATCATTTTTGTAGGAGTCTGAGAGGCGGCATTTGTGCTATTTCTGCCTTTCAAATATTTGCAGGTAAATTGAACCAAGGTTTCAGGACCCTATATTATTAAGAATTAATATATTATATTGCTATATATTATATTTTTATATATTATATATATTATATTAAGAATTATAACATCACTCGTAACCTTCCTCTTGGTAATTTTCTATTCACGGGAATATTCACATAAATGGAGGGGAATGAGATTTTGAAAACCAGCCGTTGGTGTGGAGCTAGTGTGGGAAGCGTTATTCATAGTTTAGAATACGGAAGCTGCCCGGGTGTACAACAGCTGGCACGTGGTCAACTTTGACACACGATGGAAACAATGCGGTGGTCAACGCAGGTCTGCGGGTGACGTCGATTTCTGGAAACGTGTGTGGGAAGAAACCACAAGACCAAAGCAACGTGCACTCAGCAGAATTCAAAGGTACAAGCCATTCGGACACTTGAAGGTATTTTCTTTCCCAACCGAGATCAGAGAAAGCATCTGGCCGAGCCTGGTGTGGCCGCTCGGCTGGAAGCCCTGCAGCCCGTGCACTGGGACAAGAGCACTGACATTTCTGCATGGGGAGGTTTCTAACTCACTCATTTAAGGACCCCCGCGGGAACAGACGGGCCGGCCGCATGTGCGTGAGTACCTCGTTCTTCTCCCAGAGCGTCAGCTCCTTCTTGGACTGCTCCAGCTTCTGGGACCGGTCCACCACGAAGTAGATGAGATAAATGCTCCCAGCCAGCGACAGAAGCACCAGGATGTTGGCAATGACCCTCAGGCAGATGGTCACGGCTCTGCGGGGAGAGGCGGGCGTGAAGACGAGGACACGGGGTCTGTGCCAGGCGCCACGGTGCACAGACAATTCCAGTGATTTTCCGCCAAGTGGATTCTCTGCCTGAAGAATCTTTTACCTGCCTCAGAATTTCTCGTTCCTGAGGAGATCAACAGTGAGTGAGAAATCCAACCCACCAGCCAGCTGCCCCATGCGGCCACCCCAGAGGAGCCGGCCAGCGGGCACCAGGCACCCGTGGGAGGCCGAGGGCTGTGTGCACACCAGCCTGCAGAGCCCGCTGGCCGCAGGGGCTGGGGCAGGAGGTGTGGCCTCATTCCAGGTGCACCATCCCCTCCGTAAGGGGCAATTCACCCTCTGGGCGGCCTTGGGAGGTCATGACACCTCCCTCTACAAGCCTCTTAGCCCTTTATCTGCACAAGGAGGAAACTCGCTCCCAAGAGGAATGAGAAGAGTTGCCTGTGAGGGAGAAACCTAGATAGAGAATCACGGAGCCCTGGGGATGGAAAACCTGAGAGAGCGAGGTCCACTCACACCGTCCTGGTGTTTCCCAACTCCCTCCTCCCCAGGCCGTGTTGGCATCGTTTGTAAGGTCATTCTGCCCTCATGGTCCCCTGAGGCGGGTCATGCACTTGGGGTCCCCCTTTCCCCCTCCAGCAACTGCTGGTCCTCGTGGTGTTTGCAGCAGAAAATGCGGGTGACGGCCTGGGGTGGGGCAGCCCCTCGATGGCCGGATCTCCCCCTTCCTGCCCTCTTCCTTCCACATCCTGTTGTAACACCCTGAATATCCCAGGATGCCTCCTACCCAGCTATTTTCCTCAGGTTTTGACAGAATCAGGAGGATTCAGAACGCGTTTGTGGAAGGGAGATGCGAAACAGGTGTCTGTTGATTTGTTTGACCGGAGCCGTGAATCGCAGAATCAGACAGCTCCTGTTTGCCCGGAGCCGTGGATCGCGGAATCAGACAGCTCCGTGTGGGAACAGACTCAGGATGGTTGTGGTTCTCAGATTGGAGGGAACGTAAAAGTCACCTGCGTCTGAAGGACCTGCTGGAAACGAGGACTCTTGCATCCCACTCCCGGAGGTCCTGGTTTAGCACACGGGGGTGGGCGCTTGAGGCGTCTGCATCGTCAGCACTGGCTGGCAGCTGACTCTGACCTGGGCGGGCGGCTCCGCCCTCCGAGAAGCCCTGAGGGACCCCACTTTTCACGTCCTAGGAGGGGACGTGGAGGCCCCGGAAGGTCAAAGGAGTTTCCCAGGCCCTGGAAGCTGATGCCAAGGGGAGGGCTGGAATCTACCCTCCAACTCGCCCACGACTTCCTCGCCTGCTCTCAGGCTGGGCGTGCATCCTCAGCACCCTGCACAGGCTCTCGCACCATGGAAACCAACCGTGGGGCTCATGAGCCAGCGAGGCTACAGGATGAGCAGGTGTGTCTGCCCCGTGAGGTCGCTGCCCTTCCCTGCAAAGGCCCTTCTGCGTCCTCAGTCCTCTGGTCGAAAGGCCTCGCCCTCACCAGGGAGCCCTCGAAACCTGGAGAAGAACTCAAACCTGAGGGTCCCGTTGGAGGGCTTGTCAGCAAGAATTGCACGCTGCGTGTCCACGACCTCAGAGACGTCGCTAAATAAAATTACTCTTGGCTTAACTAGAAATCGGTGCTAAAATACTTGTCTATCATCTAAGTAGAGGAATAGGAAGCTGGTCGACTTCAGAACTCTCACCATCCACTGGATCCTCGGAAGGAGGAGCCGCTCCTCCACATGGCGATGGAACACGGTGGAGTCCCCACGTGTCACCTCACGAGAGGACAGACTTCAGGAAGAAGGAAGAGCTGCCTGACAATGTGTGAAAATAGGGTGTAGACGGCCTGGCAATTCTGGTACCAAATCAAAACAGCTTATCCACGAAGTCAGTGTGAGGAGTCTTGGTACTTACAGGTTTTTGCTTTTCTTCTTTTCCTGTTCCTCCAGGATCGCCTCCTTTAACGAAAGACACACGTAGCGTTAGAGCTTAGCACTGTCGTTCATCATAAGCCTGTAGAAATATTCTATGATAAAGATTTATCCAGTATTTTATTCACAACCTCGATGTCTAGACTTCACTCTAAGATCCTATTGATATCAAACGCATTATACAATAATAAATAGATAAAAAAGGAAACTGGGAAGAAGAAAGAGGAGATGGAGGAGTCAATTATTTAGACAATTGGAACTATCTAGATAAACTTTTTCTCAGAAGGGGGCACCATTTAGCCATCTGTGCTGGTCAGCAGACCCTTCTCTGAATGCTTTTGACTGTGTGTCTCCTACATTAACAATGAAATGTATCTATTAATTTACAAGGGACTTCCACGCCATATGGTAGTAACCATTGTGCGAATTATCAAAAATACCCAAATTGAAATTTTAGAAGGATGAAATAAAAAAATAGGGTGGCGCAGTGGTTGAGTTCGCACATTCTACTTCAGAGGCCCAGGGTTTGCCGGTTCGGATCCCTGGTGCGGACATGGCACCGCTTGGCAAGCCATGCTGTGGTAGGCGTCCCACATATAAAGTGGAGGAAGATGGGCACGGATGTTAGCTCAGGGCCAGTCTTCCTCAGCAAAAGGAAAAGAGGCTTGGCGGCAGGTGTTAGCTCAGGGCTAATCTTCCTCAAAAAAGAAAAAACTGAAGGTAAGTTCCCCTATTTTCTTCCTGCGCTCCACCGGCCTGCTTGGTGCCCGGCGGGCATGTCACCTCTCCTTGGAGACAGCTGCCCGGGTCCATGTGCACCCAACGAGAGGGGGCTGGCTCCTCCAGCAGGGGGCCAGCGGCTCCCGTGCCTGAGGGCGTTGGTCCGGGGAGCCCTGACTCCACGCTGTCCCCCTCGCAGCCTCGGGCTCCTCACCCACCCGGATGCTATTCACGATGGCGGCCGTCTTGCTCTCTGCGGCCTCTGGGTTGCCGATGAGATAATCCCAGGCACAGAAGACCCGCCAGCAGAAGGTGTAGTTCTCATTGGAGGCGCTGGCGAGGCTGGTGCGGGAGTTCTTCGCCATCCTGAGAAAAAGGACGGAGGACCCGTCAGGCAGGAACAGGGTCAGCAACGGGCTCAGCCACTGCGAGCCACGTTGCGAGCCCACACAGCACCTCTGGAGGATCAGAACCAGGCCTCTGGGCGAAGCCAGCAGTGCACCGGCAGGGTGCAGCCCCCGCTCGCGTCCTCGCCGAGCCCTTTGAAAAGCGTGGAAACGGCAATGGCCCATTATGGGGGAGCCTGGATGACAGGTGCTCCCTCACGGCGGTGGCCAGGAGGTCACCAGAGGTGTGTGCGCCCTGGCGCTGGCCATTCTGGCTCCGTGCGGCCACAACTGTGACATTAATTCTCCCCTTGGAGCTGAATCAGTCTTGAGCACCCGTCCGCTGAGGGTAACTCTACCCTGTGGGGCCACACAGAGCGCGTGGGGTCCTTCCTGCACAGGACGTTCTCAGAATGTGTGTGAAGCAGGACTCAGGGGCCCTCTCAGGGGAAGTCCCTGTCCTTTAGCCCATTTCTCCCCTTGTAAGATTACAAGCATTTTCCAGCTTTTTAAGCTGGAAAACTTCCTGTGAACCGAAGGCCCCGAGTCACCGTGCATCTATCTCTTCCGGTTTTTGTTTGAAGAAGATGATGCCGATGATGACCGTTTTATCGTTTTTATTTACCCCAAGCACTTCTCTCTGCACTTTGCTAAGAGGCCGCAAGAGGCAGGGTCGTGAAGTCAGACTACGAGCACAGCGCAGAGAGAGGCAGCAGGCGAGCCAGCGTGGGGAGGGGCCGGGTTCTCCTGGGCTCAGAGCCTGCCGGGGGTCTGTGTCTCTCTGGTTCCCGCAGGGAGGCACAGAATGTGAAAGCCCCAAGAGAAGCCTGCATTTTTCTGAGCCAACCTGCCCATTTTACAGCTGAGGCCAGAGAGGGAAAGCGAGTAGCTTCAGGACCCACAGAGGGAGCAGGACCCCTAACCCCAGCCGTCAGCCTTGACGGGGGACCAGACGTGCGAACCGCCTCGCGATACAGACAAGCTCGGATGGTGCAGAATTTGTGGCTGGCTTGCAGGTAAACTTACAGCCACAGGACAGTGTTTGGCTTTCTGCAACCTCTGGTCACCTAGACCATATTGTTCATACCTCTATTAATGCAGTTCCTACGTTGCCTAAATCGACCTTAACTGGTGAGTCTACCTGACTCGTCTCTCCAGACCCAACATGGAACCTGGGACGAAGCACCACGTGTTGTCAGTGGTGGTTGAAATGAGTGTCTCTCTCTCAGCCTCGGTCTCCTCGTCTGTGAGATGGGTATGGTTATGCCTTAACTCTGCAGGGTTATCAACGACACCGAATGAGACCATACACGGCATTCTTGGCAGGCGTTTTGAGAAATGGAGGCAGCCGTACTTTTTCAAGAGAATGATGAAGCTGTAAGCGAACACGGCCATCCCCACCAGGAAGTACGCCAAGGGCAGCCGGTAGCCGGCCCTGCCGATCCGCCGCTCCCGGCCGTAGTAGCCATAGAAGAGGACTGAGTATTGCAGGTAACCCTGAAAGAAAGCACGCGTGTCATTTCCGACTCCAGGTCCCGTTCACCCCCTCCCTCAAGGCAGGAGCCTGGTCAAGCCTTGGCCTCACCCCCAGGGACCAGACAGTGTCCAGGTCTTGGGCCGAAGCTACGTGCTCCTGAGGGATGGTCTTGCTGGCCGTACTTCCAAAGGGCTGGCCGGCAATGAGCTGGTGAGAGAGGAAAGGATGTCACGTGGTCCTCTGGGTGGAGGCGACCAGAAGAAAAGGGGCAGCAGACCTCCACGCGCCCGAGAAGATGCTGCACAGGAGCGATCTCTAGGGGTAGATTCCTGTTTGATTCTCGTTGATGGAAAATTAACCACGGGCGGCCAGATTTTCTTTCTGCCTGATCAGGGACTGCCTGGGTGTCCTCTCTCTGAGCCGCGTGGATTATTGAGGTCACTGGGTTTCTGTGATGGCATGGGAAACCGCCCCGTTTCTTTTGTGAGGATGAAGTTGAATTGAGAAACGGGTTTTATTTTAACACACTGTTGGCAAACTGGCCCCCGGGCTGGATCCAGCCTGTCACCTCTTTTTGTAGGGCTGGAGAGCAAAGAGTGGTTTTTGCGTTTTTTGATGATTGGGAAAAACAATCAAAAGAATAATATTTGGTGACGCACGAGTTATATGAAATTCCAATCTCAGCATCTGAGAATAACATTTTATCGGGATGCAGCCGGGCTCATTATGGCTCACAAGACTGCAGTGTTTGCTCTCCGGCCTCTGCAGGAGGAGTCTGCCGCGTGCTGTTGTGGCACAGATCCTCCTTCCCGCACGGGTAAAGGGGGACGTCATTACATGAAGTCGTTTTAAGCTATGGGTCTAATATTTCTTCTTTTGAACAAACAGCTCTTTTTTCTCTCCTGAAATAGTTCTTACCTCTGGAATGACGATGAAGGCACCTGTCATAATCGTGAGCACAATATTAATTCCAAACAGCCATCTCAAGAATATGAAATAGGAGGCAACGCCCGATCCAAAATGACCTAAAGAAAGACAAGACAATAAGGACAGTTCATATGAAACCCTCACAGGGCGGGAAGTTCTCCGTGAAGCAACACTAATTTTTCTTAATCAGCAGGACGTAGACCAAGAATGCCGTAATTGTACTAACCAGGGGGTCCCCCAAAATGGCCATTTAGATGGATGAAGATGTTCATTAATATCTACCAGTCATACATACAGAAAAAAATCCCTAAGTTAATGATTTTCCTAATGACATATTCGTCTAAAAGGCTTTTATCAGATTTACCACATTTTGTGTCTGTTCAGAAGGATCAGCATCTTTTGAGAATTTGATCTATTTCTTTTTTATTTTGCATAGTTTTGAGAATTCTAAGAATTTTTCTAAGGATTCTTCTGTCTTGATTTCAAGATAAATAACGATTTGCTAGACGTTAACATTAAGGGAAACCAGGTGAAGGGGTTATGGGAACTCTCTTTGCAACTTTTCTATTCATCTAAACTTATTCTAAAATAAAAAGTGTGTTTAAAAACAGATTTCTATTGAAAAAATAAGGGAGCACAGAAGCAGTTAGAAGAAGACGTGCCTGACTCTGCTCACTTTCTGGAGTAGGCGAATTTGTTCTCTACTTCAAAAAATAACTTCTCTTGAATTTTCGTTTCAAATCTAGTTCCTGTTTGTCAGAATAAATAGGAAAACACAAAACATTACAAAGAAAACAAAAGAATTACCTATTCCAAGATCACTAAGTTAAAATCACCACTAGAATCAGCCTCTCATGACTTTTTAGTGTAACCCTCCATCATTATTCTGTACGTATAATCTTTTTGTTTAAAAATTGGCATCTTTCAACATGCATCTTGTTATCAATATATTACAAGCATTTTCTCATGCAAAATATATTCTTCTGTAAAGTGAGTTTTATTGTTCCATCAGATGAATTTTCCACGATTTATTTAACCTATCCCCCACAGTTTGACATTTAGGAAGGTCCCCGCTTTTCACTAGGTGGGGTCTTCGCTGGGGTAAATAACTCCACAATAAGTAGTTTCTGTCTGAGGTCAGGTTTCCTGAAAGCAGAGCCTGAGGAAAGGATTCAGCTGACGTGACATAGTGAGGACGTGCTTTCAGGACAAAGGGGGCCGGGGTCCGGGTGATGTGTGCCCAGCATGTGGAACAGGGCAGGTCAAAGGTAATCCTCTACACCAGTGGGCAGTTGAGGGTCCTAGGGGTCAACACTCAGAGCAGACGAGAAGAAACGGACCAGCCCAGCAAGGGGCTCTGGGTGGGGCAGCAGCTGCGTCCACACGGCCTTGGGCATCGATTTTGTTGGGGCTGTTTTCTCTGGTTGCTAAGGATGGAAGAGTTGTCTCAAGGAGTATAAACATCTTGAAGATTTTTGGTATAAATTACACCTTTCCTCCAGAAATACTGCCTCCATTTGCATTTCTACCAGCTGTGGATGAAAGTGCTAAATTCCATTTAAATGTTGAAAATGTTTTTTTCCTCAATTTGTCCCCTAACCTTTAGCTTTGTTTATTTTTTATGCATGTAAAATTTCTTTTATATGTAACTAAATATAACAATATTTCCCTCCATGATTTCCTTCTTTATGTTTATAATTAGACAGGCTTCCATTCTGAGATCCCATGACTTATATTTCCTTTAATTCTTTCATAGTTCCCTATTTTATGTTTAGATATTTTACGGAACTTTAAAGTGAAGGATATACCTCATTCTTTAAAACAGCGGAATCAATTGTTCCAGCCTCATTTATGACGCTATGCCACACTCTTTCAGCTGTTGTAGCTGTTATAATGTATTTTACCATTTTGGTTACACAAATTTATTTACATTTTTGCCTTTAAAACATTCTTCAATTAGTCTCTTGGAGGTTTTTCCTCCATGTAAGTTTTCTGATCATTTTGTTGAGTTTTACATTACACTGAGAAATTACAATGTAATTTCACATTACATTGAGATTTTTCTTGGAATGGCATTAAACTCACAAATTGATATCGGGAAAAATCAGTATCTTCCAAATGTCAAATCATCCAGTGTCACCTCACAAGACATTTTTTGTATCCTGTGGGCCAGGTTTACAGTTTTCTTTATTTAAGACTTATTGTTAAGTTTATTCCTGATGTAGTGTGTTGTGTGTCTGTACTGCGCATGTGTTTGTAAATATGAATGTGAATGCGATTCATTTATTTTTTAGGGTGTTTTTTTACAAATGGTTACAGTCACCTCTACGAAAATCCACACTTTTGTATTTTTAGTTTGCAATTGCCCATGTCACCCTCACTCATCTACACAGATTTTCACTTGATCCTTTTGGGTCCGTGTTGTGTCTGACTAATGAATGACTGATAGAGAACAGCAGAGCCCAGCAGGATGCTGGCCTGTTTCCATCCTGGGAGGTGGTGGGACAGATGCCGCGTCTTCTGTCTCCATTGTCCCATGTCCAGCCCAGGTCAGCATCATGTGTGCTGGGGCCCCTGGCTGCCCAGTGTTGGGACCAGGACACTCCAGACCCTCCTGAGGCCTCCCTGTCGGTTGGCCACCACCACTGCATCCCAGCCCCACCCCTCCATCTGCCAACACTTACTCTCAATCTTCTTTATCCTCATTTCCCAGGGGATGAAGATGACCACAAAGTTACAGGCGAGACGAGCAAACTTGCGCCAGAGCTGGAAAAGAGGGAGCAGGGTTAGAGGACGTTATGTTCGCCAGGACCCTGATGACTCAGGGGTGCTAGGATCCCAAATGGAGGAGGAGCTCCTGGACACACCGTCTGGGACCTTGAGTGATGATTTCACAGGCCTGCGGGCAGCTCCGGGACCACAGCGGCCCCCTTGTCCTCTCTGTGCTCCCGCCTGGGTGAGGCACCTGTTCTGGGCTCTGAGCCGTGGGGCCTGTACTGAGGTGCCCTTGCTCTGGGCTTACAGCCTGACTTATTCCTACCACTCCTGTGGGAGCCACTAGGGCACGTGGTCCTAACACACTCACTTGACCCCACTCTGGGAGGGGGGCCCAGGATTCGCATGGCCAGCAAGCCCCCCAGGTGTTGACAATGCCCATGCCTGCTCAGGAGCCAGGTCCAGAACATTCGCTGAATGAGGGCTCCCCGCCGTGCCTCCCGTCCTGCAGCTGGAGCTCATTTCCCAGCCTCTCTCCCGGCCAAAGCTGCCACGAGGAGCTCTGGGAATCCATCCTGTGTGTTTAAGACGCAATTGTCAAAGAACCATTTTTTTTCCCAGAGGAGAATAGAGTGGGGTGCACCCTGATGCTGGCCCTGCTCTCCCCCAGCACTGGCAGGTCACGCATTTTAACACAAAACATCTGGGTTTGTGTTGGGAGCAAATGATATCATCTCAGGGAGAAGGCGGGCAAATGTGATTACAGCGTCCGAGCTGCAAGGCAGCGGGCGGTCCCCATCCAGACGCACATGGTAATGTCATTCCGGACGTGCCTGCCGAGGCCAGAGCAGCTGCTTGTCAACAGAAATTGGTTTGTTTTATCAGAAGTTGGAATTGTTCGTCTTCTGCTCATGATTCAAGACCGGCTGAGACACAGCCACTCCCGTGAGGATTTCCCACGGCTTCTCTGTGGCCGGAAATCCTTTCTTCTATTTGCAAACTCCCAGGTCGTTGTTTTTGGTCTAGTGATGCTTGTCACACTCGGCCCTGTATTGTCCGCTTGCTCATCTGCACGGTGGGGAGGCAGAGCAAGGCTTTCTGACCTTCCATCCCTGTAGCGTCCAGAGACTGGGGCTGGACATCCTTGGGGAGGGCGTGGGGTGGAAAGTGTTGCGTCATCGGCCCACTGTCAAGTCCCGAAGGGTGAGAGGTGCCGAGTGGGAGCCCAGAGCCCTGAGTTCCAGCCCCAGCGCCACCCCTGTCTTATTACATGCCCCTGGGGAAGTTGTTTTCTTTTTCTGGGATTTATCTCATACAGAAGTAGGAGCCAATCGGTAGTCCTCAGAGTTCTCTCTCAATTCAACGTCGGGCAGCAGGTTCAGCACTTGGAACGGACTAAAGCGGGATGCACAGCCGCCTCTCTCGGGCTCTGGGGCCTGCTTGAGAAGCCGGGGGCCCACAGCTCACTTCAGAGAGCCCTGGATGGAACAGCCCCCACACTCCTTCTGGTGAGGAGAGTCTACACTGCCTGCGCCTAAAGGGATGTGTGGTGGAAAAAGGTGACTTTTTGAACACCCAGATTCAGCAAGGCGTGGGAAACATGCCGTACTTCTCTGACGGTCGGCCCTGAATCTCCACTGCGAAAGCCTCGAAACTCGGGAATGACTCAAGATTCAAAGAGCAAACCAAAAACCAAACCAAACCAAAGACCAGACTGGGAAGAAATAGGTCCTAATTATGGGCCCGAGTTGTAGAGTTTTGGTAACTAAGAATAACATCCTTTCGTCTTCGAAAAGGCTTATCAGTTCACCTGCAATAAACGTGTTCTGACAACACGTATTATAGTTTAAGAAACACGTGTGCATTCAGAGTGCGTGCTGAGCACCTGCGCTGTGTTTGCAGACCTGCAGATGCAAACAGTGAACCAGACGTGCAAGATGGCAGCTGGCGCAGAGTTTGTGTTCGGGCAGAAGGGAGGCAGCGCCAAAGAAGCCGACGCACGGTCCCTCAGGACTCGGGGACAAGGGGTCGGGGAAGGTCTGTTTGGGGAGGTCGTACCTGAGCTGAGAGCTGAGTGGAAAGAAGTGAGATGAGGAATTGGCAGGGGAGCTACCCAGGAGGGGAGAGCAGCCAGTACCAGTCTGTGGGTTAGCTTGAGCGGGTATTTCACAGAAGAGGATGGAGCAGAGCAGTGGGATGAGACCCAACAGGTGGCAATGGCCCTGGGAGGGAATCTGTATTTATTTCTAAGTGGAATGAAAGCCTTTTTATCCATCCATCTATCTATGTATTCATCTATCCATCTATCCATCCATCCATTATTTATCTAAGCAAGGGATAGCAGAAGAAGTTGACCGTTTCAAACGCTGCCCTCATTCCTGTGTTTCCAGAAGAGAGTGGCTCACAGATGGAGGTGAGTGGAAGCAGGGGGACCTGCTAGGAGGACGGTGGGTAGGTGCCTTGAGCTGCACAGAGGGGGTGTTCTTGCCCAACCACGTCATGAAGGCCCTTGTTGGCATCACGTGAGAAACGAAGGGCAGAGACCGTTAGAACTAAGAGGGATCTTAAGAACCAAACATGAGAACCACATCACTTTCAGGGCCGTCCACCCAGAGCAGGGGAGCAACGGCAGAAGGACCCGGCGTCCTGGCTCCTGCAGTTTGCTGTTCCACGGGCCCGTAGCTTTTTCACTACAAGAGATGCAGTGAATAAAATCTACATGCAGCGGGGGACCAAGTCCCCCATCTCCTGATGAGTTAGGCTCCCCCAGGGCCACACAAGTGGTAAGCGATGGTCTTGGGGCCTACGGTCCAAGTTCTGGGAAATGCAGGCCTTCGGCTCCGGGCTCTGCAGCTGTTCATGACGGACACGCACGACCTTGCACGACGAGCATGCGAGGACAGGCAGGGCTTCCAGGATGGAGACCCAGGAGGGGTCGGGCGCCCACGCATGCCGTGTGCTCTTACCTCCGCACCTGCTGCCTGGTAGCCTCGAGTCCGGGTCAGCCTCCCCTCAAACTTCAGCACGATCTCCTTCGCTCGTCTGGGGGAAGAAGGACATGACAGTGAGCAGCGCGATGTCACACAGCCGCAAACAACCTAATTCAGCCCAAACTTCTGACACCCTGACCACGTGGGTGGGTTGACCTGATGTCTCTGCCTAAGTGATCAATCCTTGAAAATGGACTGAATTCACTGAGGTGGGTGGTTAAATCTGGCCTAAAGGAACAACTGGGTTAGAGAGTAAATGTTAGTGCCATGGGACAGAATGAAGTCAAAGACTCAGAGACGAACGCCACCTTCGACGTGACCTCAGCTGATGCTGCACGGTGAGGTCCTCAGAATCTGAGGTCGACCACCCCATGCTGGATTATGAGAACTTCGTTCCTCTGAATCATCCAGTTTGTTAGTTGGGCCGACTCCCTTTCAGGGAGTTCCTCATGTGCCTCCACGTACCCTCCCAGCAACACCCACTGTCCCCAGGTCCTTCCTCAGGAGACACAGGAAGCAGCTGACTCTCTTTTCCATGAGCAAGAGTGATTGCTTCATTTTGGGCCTCTCTGCCCGGTTTCCACCACCCCGTCTCCACGGCCCAGCTTCATCCTGCAGGACCAGAAACGCAGGCACGAGCCGACGTCTCACCCTACACGGCATTGAAAACATAGGGGCCCGTGGAAACTAAATAATAATTTATTTCGTTTAATTACTTACATTTTTTTTCCCTGCAAACTTTCTGCACACGTTTTGAGTCGAGCATAGAGGAATACTGAAGTGGTAAAACAGAACTGGGGCCTGAAGGAGCCCACGAGCCAACAGGGATGAGGGAGGCGCAAGGTGACAATAGCCAAGGAGAGCAGGTGTGAGGGGGCTATGAGGGGCCGGGGAGAAGCAACTGACCCAGGCCCGGTCACAGCCCAGTGCGACTCCGACGGCATGGACCACTGGCCTCTCCACAGGAAACCAGCACGCGCTGCATGACAGGGGTGGATGCTCCTGGCCCAGCCCAGAGCTGCCTCCATCCAAGTCGGCCACACCCCCGGATCCAGGCAGTCAGGCTCCACTGCCCTGTGACTTCCGTGGAGGCACCGCAGAAAGGACAATTGATGAAGCACTGATCCACGGGCTTCTCAAGGTGAGGACAGGGCTGTGTGCCAGGCGATGACAAATGCAGGTGCCCGGAGGCCGGCGCCGGCTGTCTTGGGCTGTGGCTGAGCGCCGGGCAGGCACCAGGCGGAAGGCTCGTGTGTCCTTGCGTTTCTGAGTGCCTCGACAGATCACCTAGCATTTGCCCTGCTCCTCCCGCAGGTTAGAAAGACTCAGTCTCTCACTGCTGAGAGAATCATCAGCCACCAGCATTTCTGTATGGTTTTCAAAAATTCTCATAGAGCACATGCCTTTTTTTATTTCAGTAAGTCGCTTCACTGATTACTTTGGCAGAGTTCCTCTGTTTCAATAGAATAGAACATTGGAGTTGGGCATCAGAAAACCTAGGTTTAAAGCTCGGTGCCAGCACTCACGAGCTGTGTGTCCCGGGGGGAGACACTCAGTGTCTCTGAGGATCAGTCTTGTCATCTGAAAAATGCCATCCTTACTCAAAGAGATGGAAGCGATGAGAGCTGATAACAGATGTGAAAATTAATTAGAGAGGTCTGAGAGCGAAAACTACGGATGATCTTAGCCGCCTGCTCCAGCCATCAGAGGCTCAGGCTGCATCTTTGGTCAGACTGGAAAACAGTGCCTGGAGTGGACATGTAGTGAAGGCGTGATCTGGTGGGAAAGAAACACCAGCCTGAGGGTCAAGATGGGGAGAGAGTGGGCTGTTGTGACGTCTGGAGAGGGGCACCAAGCCGTAGATGTGACAGACGTTCTCGTCCCGTCTACACAGCGGGTGGCTGAGGATCAGGTGTTTGGTTCGTTCTCCAGGGAGGTCTGCTTCAGAGGTCGGCTTAGCTCAGGGTACGGTCACTGCCACCACTCTCCTAACCGCCTTTGCTGTGACCCCGGTGTCAGCATCGCCGGTCATCGCTCGCCCGGAGGCGGCACGTGCGACACAGCAGAAGTCATGCCGACCGCTCACCTGGTTTATCTCATCTGATCCTTGAACTGCTACCAGAGGATCTCAAACTTCAGTGAGGCAAAGACTCACCCTGAATGAGTGTTAAAAATGCTGGGCCTTCCCCCGTGATTTCTGACTGAGCAGGTCTGAGGGCAACCAAGCACTCTGAGTCTTTAATAGAACCCTGACGGCTTAACAGTGGACGTTTTTGGAAACCCTGCGGCAGGACGTAGATGCTATTTTTCACCGTCACTTCGACTTTAAAGAGGAAGGAACTGGTATTTGCAGAAATTAAGATTATAGCAGCGTTGGCAGTGGGTAGAGGTGGCATCTGAATCCAGGCAGTCGGTCTTCTGATCGTTCTCTCTTCACAATTATCTAAACAGACTCTCCGTCTGACCCTAAATGTCTTGTAATCTGGTTTCCTGTAGCGATGCCCCCCCCAGAGGGAGGCGACAGCTAAGCAGGTGAAATCAGCATCTATTTTCCGTCTAGATCCTACACCTGTCTCTGGTGAGTTACGTTGTGCTGTTCACCTCTAGACACAACGCTACAATCTAGTGTTTGCAAGGACATAGAAAACCAAAAACTTTGCACCCACCCACACACACACCCAACCCAGACAGACACGTATAGACACACCCAGAGGAACGGGCCACCTTGAGGCCCCGTGTGGACCAGCTCGAGGCCTTGGACATCTTTGTGCCTCCTCTCAGTTAGGGCAAGAGCGACTGTTCACGTGGGTCTCTGTGCTCATTGCCATGGGCAGGGCGGGGGTTTGGTGCAAAGCAGGCCTGAAATAACCAACAATTGCTATTGAGGCTCCTACCTCAGCGCCCTCAGCTTCTGTCCCATGGTCCAGGGTCTGCAGCGAATGTCTGCCATGAGATCCTTCTGAAACTGGATATTCTGGAAGATCTTCTCTGGATCAGTGCTGTCCCCCGTTTCGTCAGCATTGAAGCTGTCGTCCAAGTTGCTGAATGGATCAGGACATTAAGGAGGAAATCGCATTAGGAGAATTGTTTCCAGCAAAGATCTCCTTGCCCTGGGCAAGTTCAGCACCTCCCTGCCCCAGGGGCATCTGTGTGAAGCGTGTGTGTGTGTGTGTGTGTGTGTGTGTGTGTGTGTGTGTGTGTGTGTAAAGGGCGGGGTCCAAAAAAGCAAAGAGAGAATCAGGCCGTGTGAGCAGCCCACTGAGGCACATTTATTATCTTCTGTTACTTCGGTGGGTCAGTAAAAGACAACGGGCCTCAGGATGAAAGACGTTCTCAGCAGGTGTCATAAAGGAGACAGGACGGTGCTTATATGCGATTCCTAAACAGCAGCATCTTTGGTGGGAAAACAGTTTCTAGTTCAGGCTCATTGAAATAATCGGCTAATTTTACAGACTTTCTTGTCCCCCAGCCCTGGAAGTAAAATAAGGAAAAACCAAGCTCTGTCCCCTAGAGACCCCGTGCTGACATTCCCACTTCCATTCTTTTGAAACCCAAGATAACGGAAGCAGAACAGACAGCAGTTTCCACGAACCAGAAATTGGCTAAATAAATTTATGTGGACAAACATCTCAGGGAAATAGTTAATCTCTGGCAGAACAATTTTTTTAAAGGTGCGGCAACATTTATTCCCGGTAACGATTAACATGCTAACCTCGTGTACCTGTTTAGGAGGAGATGTGACTGTGTGGCTGTGTCTGTTGGATGAATGATGCACTTACAAGTAAGACAAAATAATTTCTTTGCTTTTCTCCAATTCGGATAGTTTTTGCTTACTGAATGAAGACTTTTCTCCAATTTCTCCATATTACTGGAGGTTTTAACATACCTTTATAAATCTTTAACAATTCCAACAGCACTCCCCCCACTTCTGATGAACCTGAAGACTTTTCCAACAGGCACCTGGTTTATTATGACGGATGTATCATCCACTCTCTCCTGACGCTGCCGATGGAGTAAACAGAGAGAGAGCAGATGAAGGTGCCTGCGGGTTTGGCCAGCAGTAATGCCGGGTCGGAGTCCAGGCTTTTGGATTCGGACCCCCTGGTCAACCAACACGTCCAGCCCTCTGTGCACACGGCCGAGGTTCCCAACCAAGTTGTGCAAGAACCTGGAGGAAGGGGTTTCTGGGCTCCTGCCGAAGGGGAACCGAGCAGGATGAGGACTTGTCCTCTGCTTGGACCTAAGCAAGGCTCCCGTGACCCCAGGTCCCTTCCTCGCACACCTGCCTCCTCTGCGGATGGGACTGGCTCACCTGAGCAGCAGAGACTCCTGGTAGAAATAGTGCTGGCCGGCGTTCCTCCGCACGCTCCTGTAGCGCTGGGACGCCTTTGAGGGTTTCATGGGAGCTGACCTGCTGCGGGCAGGGCACTGGGAAGCCAGCAGGAGGGGTCTGCTCCAGCTGACCAACGGCTCCTCACGCTGCCCTCCGGTTGCCAGGAGCAGGACTGCTAGTCTGCGGCTGGGCTGGGAGCAGGGCCGCCCAGAGGCGAGTCATGCATATGCAACGCGAAGGTGGCCGCGGCCACACAGATTGGCTGAGTCCAGACAGCGCAGAGGGGAGCTCGGCTGGGTCGACCTGGGGATCAGCTGGTGCCACTGGAGTGATGGCATCGGCGACCCCTCGAGCCCAGACACGGCTCTGTGGTTTCAAAGCGTTTACGTCTATTGCCGTGATCTTCACAAAACCCTGAAGGAGAATGTAAGGCACAGCTTATTTTTTCCCATTTTCCCATCTCAAGAAAGAGGCTTAACGAGGGTAAGAATCTTGCCTGTGTTCACACAGCAGAGTCCAGGAGAGGCACGGTCACAACATTTTATTTGTTTTTATTTTTCTCATCTTTTTTTTTTTTTTTCTATTTTGAAAAACCTACAGAAACTTTGGCAGAACAGGACCACAGAACAGTATTCTCCCAGCCTAGATTCACCAATTGCTGACATTTTGCCACATTTGCTCTTTTTCTCCCGACACCGTTCAAAAGTAGGTTTTGGAAATAACGACACGTCACCCCTCAATACGTCAGCATGACATTAATAATAATAAAATTCACACTTTTCCTATATTTGTGCTTACTAAGTGAGGTCACATTAATTGCATGATGGTCCTGTGAGATGGGCTGAGAGACGGCGGGAGGCCTCCTAGAGCTCCATGGTAAGAGAGGAAGAATTGAGGGAGGTAAGACGATCCACAAGGTTCTGAGAAATGCTCACGTGCTGTCAGATGGGGCGCCCGGCCCTCCCTGGACGCTGGGTGGAGACCGGCAGCTCCTCTCCGCTTCCCCAGCCGCAGAGGAAGGGCCCCAGCCCCTTGTCACTGCAGGCTCCCATTCTTAGCGTTCATAACCACCTCTCACGAGGATCCCCGGTCGAGGAATTCATCCCCAAGTCCAGGACTTTCCCACAGTCTCACGATGTAAACCCCAATTTTCTAATTAACACAAGAAACGGTTTGTTTGCAGAAAGGTTAATTGTACATTAACCGAACGGGAGGGTGCAGGGCCCAAGTAGAAATGGCCCTTCCTGTTGACCAAGCTGCCTAGTACACCAGAGACTCAACAAACCGAGTCAACGCATATCGAGAAGGGTGGGCACCAGACAACGGGGCAGGAAGGAAATTCATCAGCGTCTCCGGGTGTGGGGTGTAGCAGAGGGACTCACTCATTCATTCATTCATTCATTTCTTCATTAATCCCTTAGCGAGGAACTGGACAGCGCTTCCTATGTGCCACGCGCTGGACTGGCCGAGGTAAACCACAGCCCTGGCCCCGGGTCCTGAGGCTCAGCGGGTACCAGGCAGGTGTCAGATTGGGGCTCAGGGCCTGGGAACGAAGCAGGAGCCGGGAGCCAGGGCTGGTTGTGGGTCAGAGGAGCAGCCGCAGGCCTACCAGACCAGGTCACCTGTCTGCCGATTTGCCCGAGGCCGTTTGACCTGATGTTGTGTGTAGTAACACTAGACAAAACTTGTGTTTATCAAGTGGACAAAATGGCAGAGATATTAGGATTATTTCTAGACTCCTGAGGGTTTTTTTCGGCATTCTCTTAGAGATCTCTTCTTACACACACTATTTCTGAACATTTCAAAGATTTTTTCCTCCTATTTTTTCCAAAGGCCTCTCTGCTTTTGAAATATTTATTCAAAATTGGAAATATTATATATAAATTTTATGCAATTGACTATTTTGAGCATTTTCATCTCTTCTTTGCATGTATATATTTGTGTTTTCGGGGGTAGAGCGAGGGAATGGAAAATTTTGAGGTCCTACATGGATTTATTAAAATAAATTAGTGCAAACCTAATTGTTTTCTTTTCATTCTTTTCCAGTTAATTCTGTTTGATAGCTTGGGTGAGATAAAATGGATTAATATGAATATATTTAACTATTTTTAATATCCAGATCATAATTAATGGGAGTAATTAAATAGGAACAATGATTACTTTGGATATGAATCAATTATCTCCCTGTTTGCCTAACTTTAAAGAAATGTAGATTTCTAAACATTTTTTATTATGAAAGTGACATATAATCATTAAATAAGAAATGGAAACAATAGGAAAATTAGAATAGGAAAAACCACCTAGAACAATATTGCTTAATGATATTAACTGTTAACATTTTCAGCTTTTTACCAAGTATATATTTTTCTCTGTATTTATATATTTTGCAATTTTACTCTATACACACATTTCTTTTAACTTTTCCATCAATTTTATATCTAAAGCGATGTCCATGTTTTTAAAAAATCTTCTGTGAACATATTTTGCCAATAGGCCACTGAGTGGAATATTCCATCTAGAACATGAAATATTCAATTTTTCCCCATTTCTCAAACAGCCATTTTGTCCTCCCACATACATTTTTTGCCATTGATATTATTTCCACTTTTAGCATCATTTCTTTAGAATTAGTTTTCCAGAAATGAAATTACCAGATCAAGGAGAATGTCATTTAAAAAAATTCAGTATATGGTCAAATGAAAGTCTCTCTTTTTATATTTATACTGATTTAATGTGTTTTTATTATCATTGGTATAATGAGGGTTTTTTGTTTTGCTTTTGCTCAGGAAGATTGGCCCTGAGCTGACATCTGTGCCAGTCTTCCCCTATTTTGTATGTGGGACACCACCAAGGCATGGCTGACTTGTGGCATAGGCCTGTGCCTGGGATCTGGACCTGGGCCACCAAAGCGGAGCATGAGAACTCAATCACCACACCAGGAGGTCGGCCCCTAAAATGAGTTCTGAATGTGATTAGATTTGTCCGTGGTCTCTTTATGGTTTTCTTGGTCTGATTTTTAAAAATTCCCCTTCGAGTCCACCTGGCACATTCTGGTGCTGAGCTCAAGGTGAGGCTGTGATTGCTGCTCCTGACTCCCAGCAAGAGGAGCCCTGATCTTCTTCCTGCATCCCTCTCTGAGCTCCGCTCCTCTGGGCTCCGAGGGCCGGTGGAGGGAGGCAGGTGCAGCAGGGGAGGTGGCTTTCTGGATACAAAGGGACACATTACTCATGTGTGTCCAACTTCCTCTGACAATCTATTAGAGGCTTCAGGTGCGATGGATGATTTTAAGTTAAACCAGCGTAGATAGATAGATAGATAGATAGATAGACAGACAGATAGACAGACAGTCAGACAGACAGATAGATAGATAGACAAATAGGCAGATAGATAGATCGGCAGAAAGACAGATAGATAGATGATAGATAGACAGATAGATAGATGGATAGGCAGATAGATAGATGATAGACAGACAGACAGACAGATAGATAGATAGATGATATGACTAAAAATCCCTGAAATTCTTACAATTGAAACATTAAAAAAAATCAAGATCCAATGTCAAAATGAGGTAAAACTAGCATTTCCTGGACCACCTCCTCGCAGGATCTGAGTGGCAGAGAAGGAAGGTGATGGAGGGAAAGAGAACAAAGTGGCAGGTGAGGACCTATTTGTATAAAACGCAAACCCCTTTCAGTTAAAAAAAAAGAATAAAATTTGGTTATAACTCCCAAGAGGTTTCGACAGAAATCATCAGACGGCTTAGCTTATAGGAACAAAAACACTCGTTTCCTATGTCACCAATTAAAGCCCTTTTTTCCCCCGCTAAGTAGACTGTCTTCTGGGACATTGTTATCCCCGAGCGCGTCTGAAATGTTCTGTGTGAGTCCAGTCGACAACGCCGAGCTCCTTTTTCTAAGTTACCAAATTTTCAGCTCTGGATTTTACGAGAGAGACTTTTCCATCTCTGAGATTCATTTACACACCCGTTATATTGTTTTAATGACTCTAAAAGCTTTTATTGGGTGTTTAGAAATATGTTCGGGGACTGGAAAATGTTATTTCGAAAAGATGCGCAAGAATATATTGTTTCCAATTATCTGAGTAACAATCGAAATTGTCGAGACATGAGAACGGATTTTGTTTTTGTTGAATTTCTCATGAAGTCGTTAGCTGCAAATAAGCCGGAAACCGGGCAGATGCTGAGAGCTCTGTCAGGAGTCACGTGAAGCTCTGTTAGTCACTTAAATAGTCTGAGAGAGTCACAGCCAGGCTGGCGGTGGGGCTGTCCCTGGTGCAGTTGCCTCTTGCAATAAGTGAAGACGGACGGTCGCCACCCCGCAGCATCCTTTCTGAGGAGGCACTGACCGCCCTGCGGGCTGCGCTGGGAGATGGACCACAGAGCCACCCTGTCCTGCTCCGTGTTTCGCTTTCTCCAGGAGAGAAAGTCTTTTCTATGGGTGACTGTGTCTAAACACCTCAACTGCCCCAGGACAAGGGAAAAAATGGAACTTTCTCAAAAAACGGGGTAAAGGAAAGCAGTTGAGTTTCTTGTCAAGCAACCATCTGGTGGTTGGCTGAGATCTTTCCTTAGTGATTTTTAGGTGGCATTTTCCCTAGTGTTTGAGGTCTTGGAGAGAGCACGGCCGAGTCCTCTCCAAGGGGGCAGCCTCTTCTCAGCGAGTCCCGCACCCGCGTCCTTACAGACATGCCAAGTCTCCATCAGCCAAGGCGACCGCAAAGAGGACCGCGGGTCCGCTGAGTGAACCGAACAGAGTGGATGCCTATCAAAGCGTCTTTATGAGACGCTGACCACCAGCCACGGACTTGACCATGTTCTCGCTTTAGTCTAAACGTGATATTGAAGAATTTTCTCCTTTAGGAAAATCACCTCCATCTTTTCCTTCCATTTTTATTGGCATCTTTCACCTTGTATTTCTGACACATAATTCCTTTTCTTGTTGTATAAAGACCTTTTAAAATCCAGCTGTTCTCCCCCCAAGATCTGCTTTAAGACTTTAAAAAAAATTTAAGTACCCTCCCCCACTTTTTTCTTTCAGAATTTTATCTCCTTCTCTTAGGCCCGTAGAAGAGAAGGAGCTGCCATTTGCGCGCCCTGGAGGTCTGGGAAGGGCACCAGGTGCTGAAGTGGGTC